CCAATAATTAATTGCATCCAAGAATTTAGCCAAATGAGAGCTCCATCCCTTAATAATATATCTCAAATCAGACAATGATATGTAATTTATCATGTTGTCATATACTATTGTCTTTATGGATGGGAGCTGAAGCTCGACGAGAAGCCAATGAGTACGGTCCAAAACAGGGATAAACACCTGCATCGAAATGTAATAATTCAAATTGCGCACTTATTTATGAACACCTTTAAAATATTTAAACAAATATACTAACCTTATCGACCTCCCACAATGCAGGATAAAGTTTAGCTTGTCCATTAGCCAACACATATGATTCCTATCGTTGATTCTTCAAGTGAACTACGTGAAAAGACGTCGGCATAATTGTATATCGCGTTTTTTTTATATTTTTCTTCAATTTCCTTACAATTAGAAGACGTGTCACCCATGCATCAATATGCTGTTTTACAAAAAAAGACATATATTAGTGAATTACATAAATTTTAAAAAAATTAATCAAACTGAAATATAAGAAGAAATATAAGACTTACCCCCCATCAAAATAGCCGTTGTCTTCAACCCCTAATAATACACCCCCACCAAGACCGTTCAATCAACAAATGCATATCATCGTTGAGTTTGTATATGTCAGCGTAATACCCTTGGCTCCGCTCATGTAGATAAAAATCAACTGCGGTCTTAGCCCAAAGGGTATTATCCAGAATTGTTTCTGGTAGCTGTTTCCTCTCCGCTTCATCTGCCGGAATGGTACTGGCCGGTAACTTATACGAAAGCCAACAGTCATCCATCATGTCCGGCACGTGAGGGGGCTTCTCAATAATTCGATATATTACGCCGTGTGAATCGGGCTCTAGAATGTTGGGAGGGACCTCTTCAACGATGACAGTGGCCTCTTGAACGGTGGGAGGGGACTCTTGAGGGATGATAGGGGCCTCTTGAACGATAGGGGAGGCCTCTTGAACGATAGGGGAGGCCTCTTGAACGATGACAGGTGAGTCGGGCTTTTTCTTACGGATTCTTCGCACTATTGGGGTGAACGGAGACGTAATGGCACGTACACGCCGTCTGAAGCGTGAACTCCGTCTTGCAAGAAAAACCCGACATAGAGCATCCACCTTAGCGGGCCGCTAAAAATAAATTAATACATAAATCAGTAAATAAACAGACATGATATTAAGCAGTGAAAACAAAGACAAATATATTTCAAACTTACACGGTATTCACCCAAGTCATTATTATATCATTGTTCACAAAATGCATCAGATAACATTCCAGAAGTAAGCATTTATATAAACATTTAAAAGGACAACATATAGGTTTAGTGCAGGTTTAATGACAACATAAAGAGTAGTAGTTTATTCTTGAAACTTAAATTTTCAACACTGTGAAGTTAGTATTTGTCTTTTGGTTGAAGTAATGCGATTCATTCAAGTTTCAATTTGCAGAAGAATAATAGAATTTGAAACTTAAAATCGCAACGCGAAAATGACTATCGCAACGCGAAAATGACTATCGCAACGAGAGAATCGCAATGCGAAATGAAAATCGCAACAATAAAATCGCAACGCGAAAATGACTATCGCAATGCGAATTTGACTATCACAACGAGAGAATCGCAATGCGATTTTCATTTCGCATTGCGATTCTTTCGTTGCGATAGTCATTTTCGCATTGCGATTCTCTCGTTGCGATAGTCATTTTCGTGTTGCGATAGTCATTTTCGCATTGCGATAGTAAACTATTCTTCTTCTGCAAATTGAAACTTGAATGGATTGCATTACTTCAACCAAAAGACAACCAAAAACAAATACTAACTTCACAGGGTTAAAGAATAAACAGTTAAACAGTATTGGCAGCAACCGAATGAATTAACTAAGCAATCTAAGTGAAATTACGAGTAAATTTATCATCAAGTTAAATATGAAAAATATTAAACTTACCTCGTTGCGTAGAGTATGAACCTCGTTCTGCAACGATGCTACAATCTCACGTAGAGCTGCTACCTCACCACGTAAAGTAGACACCTCAACACGCCATGCACCATTGTCATCGCGTAAAGTACCGACCTCCTCACGCAAGGCATTGACCTCATTACGTAACTCCCCTAACTCATCCCGTGGAGGTGGAGGTAGAGAACAGGGAGATAAACGTCGTGGCATCTTTGCCGGTCGCCTATTATGAGGTGATGGTGGAGAAGAGGCTCGATGATGTGACAGAATAGGTGATGACTCTCGTTGTAAAGGTGTATATTCGGGTCGATCAGGTGATGGCTCTGGGTGAGGTGATGGCTCTCGAAGTGGTGGCTGCTCATCATCCGTGCCATCAAAAAAAAGCTTACTAGCTTGCCACCAATCAGTGGCAAGCTCAGCTTCCGTGGGTGTCAGCCTCTGTAATGGAGTGTTGGCCTCCTAACAATATAAAAGCTCAAACAAAGTTAAGTGTGTACTAGTAATAACTTGTTTATAAACATATGGTAGTATTTGTGTTAACTTACATTATTTATTGTAGTATACGGTAGTAAATCTTCCCATTGTTGCAAGGACCGTTTCCTCTTCCAGGAAATAGCCCTAGGAATATCATTAGAAGTTTTTAATGCATATGTCTGCATGGCGGGAAAGGCCTCAAATATCCAAATCTACAAACAATATAATAAAAAACATTAGTAATTGTTAAAGAATTAATTATAATTTTAGAAACATTATATAAAAATTATTACCTTAAAGGCCCAAATAAAGCCTGACAAAGTGTATTTGGAACCATCGCCACGCAAACTTTTCCGATCATTAAAGGCAGACGACAACTTATTCCATGTAGCTCTCCATAGATACGAACCCCATGAAAACAGGTTCCATGCATTTAGGTCCTCTACCAATTTAATTAGATCATTAGGAATAGGTTGCCGGGCCTCTCTGCCTGAAAAGCCAGCTTGCAAAAGTATTAGAAGGCATACTCGGACAACATCGACGTCATCCATCCGAGTAAAACCATCTTTCTTATTCAATAATCTTGTCAAGTCTTCCACGTGTAAATTCGACTTCTCCGTTGACAGCTCAGGAAAAACCCAGGAAAACCATGATAGGCGGGTAATATATCTAGTTTACCGATCTACATCATCGTGTCCGAAGCGTAGACCGGTGATTAAGCAAAACTCCTCCCGCCCAAAACACGTATACGCCGGTGGAAAATCAAACCATATCTCTTCATCACGACGTTGTATAGTCTCTGGTAGATCGCTAGTCATGGTTTGAAGAAACAGATGGGTCAACATAGCATCTCCACCCGGATGTTGTACTTTCAGCCATGGCCCGAAGCAAGTATCCTTAAATATTTTTCTTTGTGCAGGTGAAAGCTTCGACGCAATTGTTTTGGCCAGACTTACTTTATTTCTTAAGGTCAATTGAGCCGAATAAAAGTTCTGAAAAACAATAAACATACCAATTTAGATATACCAAAAACTACACTGTGAAGATATGAACAATAAATATAAAGAGTAGTAGTTTATTCTTCAAACTTAAATTTGCAACACTGTGAATTTAGTATTTGTTTTTTGGTTGAAGTAATGCAATTTATTCAAGTTTCAATTTGCAGAAGAAGAATAGTTTCTGAAAATTTAAATCGCAACACGAAAATGAAAATCGCAACACGAAAATAACTATCGCAATGCGATTTGACTATCGTAACGCAAGAATCGCAACGCGAAATGAAAATCGCAACGACAGAATCGCATTGCGATAGTCATTCTCGGTTTCAAATACTAAAATTGAAAGAAACTTGAATGGATTGCATTACTTCAACCAAAAGATAAAACAAAGACAAATACTAACTTCACAGGGTTAAAGACTAAATAGTTTAGCAGTATTGGCAGCAATCGAATGAATATAATAAGCAATCTAAGTGAAATGGTTAATCTATTATTGAAAACACCAGTAAACTTATCATCAATTTCAATATAAAAACCTAATAATAATGCAAAAATTTCAAAATAAAAATAATTAAAAAACTAACCCTCGGTGGTTGATTTGGTTGATTTTCCATTTCTGATCGTGAATGATTTCGCCGGAGATGGAGACTGATATCGTCGTGGGGACTGATTTCGTCGGAGATGGGGACGGATGTCGCCTTAGAGAGTGAGAGATGGAGATGAGACTGAGTTGTGATTTAGGGTTTCAGGTTATGAGTTGCGATTACGGGATATACTGTGGACGGTTCAGTGTTCCGAGATATTAATATATTCGTGTTTGGAATTTGAAAAAAAAAATACGCGTTAATATGAATGGCGTTATGTAAATCGCATTGTGATAGTCAGATTGGCATTGCGATAGTCAGATTCGCATTGCGATTTACGTAATCGCATTGCGATTTTCCAAATTCGCGTTGCAATTTACGTATTCGCATTGCGAATTAGGAAAATCGCAACGCGAATTTGGGAAATCGCAATGCGATAGTCAGAATCGCGTTGCGAATCTGAAAACTGATTTGCGATACCGGAGATCGCGTTGCGAATTATCGATCGCATTGCGATTTAGTTGGTCATTTTGGCAAATCCAAAAAAAGTTGGTTAAAATCGTATATTATAATTTGATAAGTTAAACCTAAGATCATGAGACGTAACGAGATATTCATCTCGTCCTTTAATTATTCAATAGAAGTTTAAGTATAGATGGACTTTAGTTATCATCTAAAAATTTTAAATTATCATATATTTTAAATATTTTCTTTATACTTTTTATTTGTATTGTATTTTCGTCACTTAAAATTTTATAAATTTATCACCCTTAAAATTTAGAAGTTTATCCCTTGAAATAAAACTAAACGTGTCCTTGAGTTGAAGTTAAATTTTTTTATTATATTTTGTCTTTTATTGTATCGTATTAAAACTATTATATTTATTGATTTATGAAGGATTATACGGCCGGGGATTATACGGCCGGGGATTATACGGCCGGGGGGGGCTATATATATAAGAGGGTTACATTGGCCGGAAAATAAGCCAACATTGATTGAATGAATTAGTCTTTGAAGAAAAATGAAAATGCAGAGGACAGCTTTGACCAGGAGGAGCTTCAAGCTAGCAGCGGCTGCGAGGAGGAAATGCAGAACATCGAGCAAAGGCAATCCGAATAAGGCAACGACTGTTAATACCGCAATTACTATAATAGATGTACGTAGTAACTGACGTATGATTTTATGAACCGACTGTTAATTAATTTATGAATTGTTAGATTCTTATGATGAAAGAACATTTATTTGGCAGAAAAAAAGATCGAGAAGTATAAAATCACTTATCAGAAGGTTGAGATTGGAGATGAAAGAGAGAGATGAAGAGCAAAGAAAGATAAAAGAAGGGCAAAGGCAAGTAAAAGAGAGATCGGAAGCCATTGAAGTAGAATGTGAGGAACTCCGGAAGGAGGCTCTCCTCATAACACAACAAAGTGCGAGCACCCAAATGCGCCTCGCACTCATGTTTCAGATACTGAAAGCAAGGGAGAACCTGGAGTTCGACAAGGCAGCCATATGCAGCCTTGCTCTTCGGTACGATCCCCTTCGTAGTCCCTTTCAAATACCATGTTTCTGTTTCGGAATTTTTGATATCGTGTTCGTTTGCATTTCTATCTTCTTGCAGTGGATTGGTCGAGAGAGAAAATCAACGAAGGAAGCTTTAAGGATCGGCTTGTGGGGTTTGACCCTAGTCCATTGCTTCATGTTCGATCATCGTTCACGAATCGACTTCCATGAAAAAATGGGGTCTTAAACATTTGAATGGGGATTGTTAATCCTTAATTAATGAAGAAGTAATGGATTGGATCATAATTTAATGTGTGCGGGGCTTAATATTGCAACTTAATAAATGGGAGTAAACTTCCATATTCAAGTTAGATTTGTATTTTCTGTTTGTTTTACATTGCCAATGTATGGATTGAGAATGTCTATGATAATAAGTTTATATTCTAAGATTCTTAACTATTAACTTTGCAAATGCACTTTTACTATTCACCATGAAAACCTGCTTTTACAAAACCCAATCCTGCCTTTTATAGGCAATGATTCACACCCAAAACTACCTTCCAGCTGGCAACACTCTCCGTAACAAACTCCAACAAATTCTTTACGCAAAGTTTACTCTAACATGCACCCTACTTGGGAAAAATTCAAGAACCAAGTCTGCCAACAACATTAAGCTTTTGACGGAAAACAGGAAATTAAGACATAGAGAGAGGCTTGGTAAAACCATCTCTGCTAATTGAAACTTACTAGGAACATAATTAACACTAACCACCCCAGTTGCAACTTTCTCCCGAACAAAATGAACATCAAGCTCAATGTGTTTCGAAAGAGCATGAAAAACAAGATTTGTACTCATAGCTATAGCACTCGTGCTATCACTCCAAACAGTAGGAGCTTTAACACATTCAATACCCATATCACCAAGCAACGTCTGCAACCACATCAACTCAGACACCACATCTGCAATTCCATGATACTCAGCCTCAGTCGTAGAGCGAGAAACAAACCGTTGCTTCCGAGAACACCAAGAAACCAAATTGTCACCAAGGTATACACAATAATTAGAAACTGATCGTCGATCATCCGAATTATTTGCCCAATCCGCATCGGAGAAAGCACAAATAGCAACATTACCTACAGAAGCACGAAACAACAAACCAAAGTCTATTCGTACCACTCAAATAACGTAAAATACGTTTCACCGCTAACCAATATAATTCACATGGTTGATGCATGTATTGAGCAGCACAACCAACACTGAATGAAATATCTAGTATGACTAAGGTACAATAGAATACCCACCACACTACGATATTGTTGAAGATCATCAAGAGGTCGACCACCATCACACGAGAGTTTAGGTGTGGACAACACGAGAGTAGGGGGAAATTTCGATTCACCCATATTTGCACATCCAAAAACTCATGAATATATTTGCGTTAACTCAACAGTAAAGTACCATCATCGCGTTCAACCTCAATACCCAAAAAAACTCAAATCTCCAAGATCTTTCAAGGAAAATTCCTCGCTAAGAACACAAACAACCTCCTCAATTAAAGATCCATAGCTCCCAATAATAATAATATCATCAACATAAACAAGCACATAAACACTGTCAAGAGTAAAGAAGCTACAGCACAAGAGTAAAGAACAAGATAAGAGAGAATATGCTCTCTAAACCTTTAACAAAAGAATCATACATCTGTTGTTACAACAAAGCTTATTTATAGCTCTATGAACATACTTAACCAACTATAACAGAAGCTTAACAGTTTCATAACTGAAGCTTAACAACCTAAACACTAACTAACTCATGCTAGCTAACTCATAACCGAATGGGAATCGATTACATTCACCCGTCTTCTTCATTTCCATCAAGTCTCAATATTCCCAAAGCTTTCTGAACTTCTAAACAGCAGATTGATTAAAGATCAACATTCTCCATGTTTTCCATCTTTCTAAGCAACAACAACTCTCTAAACCAGCAGCATATTAGGAATCAACATTCCCAATATTTTCTAACCTTCTAAACAATTGAGTGACCAGGAGTTTTTGACGATGCTTTACAAACATAGGCGCTGAGAGTGGCTTTGTCAACACATCAGCAACTTGTTCATAGGCAGGAACTTCATGCACTTGTAGTTTTCCAGCAGCCACCATTTGACGAACAAAGAATAAATCGAGCTCGATATGCTTGAATTTTAAATGAAACACAGGATTAGCACAAACAACCACAACACTCCTATTGTCACACCACAGGGTTTCTCGTCCATGCACGACAACATGTAGCTCCTTAAGCAAGGCCATAATCCACACCAAATCCGCAACAGCAGAGGAAACGCTCCTATACTCAGCCTCAGCAGTACAACGTGCAATGACTTGCTGCTTACGAGAACTCCATGCAATAAGATTACCTCTAAAATAGATACAGAACCCCAAAGTGGATCGCCTGTCATCAATATCAGAAGCCCACGTGGCATCAGCAAAGCCAGTTAACGACATTCTTGATGATGAAGTGAATCGTAACCTATAGTCAGCAGTTCCTTGAAGATAACGCAAGATCCTCTTCACTGCTTAAAAATGTACATCACATGGTTCATGCATAAATTGACAGACCCTATTAACTAAGTAAGCAATGTTCGGACGAGTTACTACCACATATTAAAGAGCACCCACAATATTGCGATACTCAACAGCGTTTGTAATGAGCTCACCCCCATTCGCTGAAAGTCTGCTTGTAGAGACCATGGGAATGGGGAGTTCTTTCGCATCACCGAAACCAAATCTCTCTAATAGTTCACGAATGTATTTCCTTTGACTCAAAACTAAACCATCAGCATCATGCCACACCTCAACACCCAAAAAATAACTAAGGGAACCAAGATCTTTCAAAGCAAATTGTTTGTTCAAATCATTAATCACCGTTTGAACCTCATTTGCATTACTCCCTGTTAAGATTATGTCATCAACATAGACTATCATATATACTATGTTATCAGCAGTATTTCGAACAAATAGTGATGAATCAGATCGTGCCAAACCAAATCCTATAGAAATCTGATATCCTCGAAGACTGTCAAACCAGGCTCGAGGCGCCTGTTTCAGGCCATAGATAGCTTTATGAAGCTTGCACACCAGTCCATCATTTCTTGTTCATACCCAGGGGCTGCTACATGTAAACTTCTTCAGTCAGCACCCCATTCAAGAATGCATTGTTGATGTCAACTTGGTGAAGCTGTCATCCCTTGGATAAGGAAAGTGAGATAATTATACGAATAGTGGTTGGCTTAACCACTGGACTAAACACTTCATGAAAGTCCACTTCAGCCTGCTGAATGAACCCTTTGGCTACAAGGCGCTCCTTGTAATGAGACACAGTCCCATCTGGATTTCTTTTCACTTTGAAGATCAACTTACAGTGAACTGCTTGACGTCCCTTTGGAAGAGAAACTAGTGACCAAGTTCCATTATTTACTAAGGCTTCATATTCCTCTTGAACTGCTTTAGCCCAATGAGGACTGCACATAGCCTCCTTGAAGGAATATGGTTCCTTATCAAGACAAGCAACCTGAAGTGCCTTTGGCTTGCGAATCCCATTTTTTCCTCTCGTAAGCATGGGATGGAAATTTTGAAGAGAAGATTGAGGACCAGCTAAGACATATATATTGTCCTCTGGAGCAGGTACTAGAGTTGACATAGGCTCAAAAACTGAGGGAGCAGATTCATCAACAGCAGGGGACTGTTCAACACGTTCTGAAAACTCAGAAGCTGTAGGAAGAATTGTACTAGGCGGTTCCAGAAATTCTGGAGCCACAGAAACTAAGGAGCATTACAAGGAACTATTTCTTCATTGTTCGATGTAATAACAACTTCATTGCTATAGCCAGCATTACAAGAAGAGTCATTAGTAACATGAGGAACAACAGCAGGCAGCATGCTAGTGGTTACATCGGACGTACCTCGAGTACCCATGCAATCAACACACCTCGCTTTCGCATAAGGAAACTCTTCCTCATCAAAGACAACATGCCGAGAAAGAATGACCTTGCCTGAATCATCCAAGCACCTGTAACCTTTATAAGAGGAATTATAACCAAGAAACACACATTTTTTAAAGCGAGCTTGCAGTTTATGCTGATTAAAAGTGCGTAAACACGGAAAACAAGCACTGCCAAAAATACGAATGAGAGAGTAATTTGGAGATTCTTTATAGAGGAATTCAAATGGCGATCGACCGCTCAGAATACTCGTAGGAATCCTGTTTATCAGGTATACTGCTGACACAAAGGCATACTCCAGAACTTTAATGGCAACTAGGCTTGAGATAACATAGCAAGACCCATTTCAACTACATGTCTATGTTTTCTCTCAGCCTTAACATTCTGTTTAGATGTACCAAGGCAGGATATATGATGCAGGACCCCATTCATTTTAAACCAATATCTCAAAGCCTGATATTTTCCACCTCCATCAGACTGCAACATCTTGATTTTATATCTGAATTGCACTTCAATCATTTTAACAAAATCAAGGAAACATTGCATGACTTTAGACTTACACTTGAGTAAATACACCCACGTGTATCGACTAAAGACATCGATGAATGAAACATAGTAAGAAAAGACATCTGAAGAAACAACTGGTGCAGGTCCCTAAACATCAGACACGACCAATTGAAAAGGCTCATTGTATTCAGTCAAGGACTTACAAAAGGGTAATTTATGTGCTTTGCCTTGCATGCAAGCAGTACAAACATGAGTGAATTTAGACTTATTCGAAGGAACATTATAAGACTTCATAATAGAAAGAACCACTTCTAAAGAATGGTGACCAAGCCTTCTATGCCACAGCTCCAACGCATCATGCGAGCCAGAAACATTGTGGACTTGAAATCCTGCTTCATGCTTGGCATACAAAGGTTGACCATCATATGGCAGTAACTGGTATAGCCCCTCATCCGTGAGCTTCCCTCGAAGAAGAAGCATTTCGGTCTGAGCGTCCTTCACAAAGCACTCAGAAGCATGAAACTCAAGAAAAACGTTATTATCACGTGTGAATTGTGATATAGATAATAGTTTCTTCTTAATATTAGGAGCATGTAACTTGTTTTATAAAACTAGGGGTTTTTATCTCGTAGGTAAGAAACCTCGACCAACATGATCGATGTTGATTCCTTCATCGTTTCCCACTAGTAATGTATTCACACTAGTATAGACAGTGCCTGAGTCAAAAACTGATAGGTCGTTTGAGACATGGTGCGTAGCACTTGTATCGGGATACCAATTAGTTTCTGAGGGAACTGAAGAGTGAGTTAAACTAGTAGCAACAGAGGAGT